TCACTTGCATATTCAAACTATTAACTAAGTCAATATCACTTAATATGGCGAGGTATAACACGGAGGAGCTGGACGTTACCTGTGGGTGGAGGAATTACAGACGCAGAGCTTCACTGCCCGCACTCCGGCTCCCTCACTCAGTTTCGAATTCCACTCACTCAACTATTTCAATGTACTACGTTACTGTATACTTTGACGTTTGAAACTGAGACTACGAACTAATTTCCATTTCCTAATATTCCCTTTTCAATCTATGCTCTGACGGAGCTGTCGAAGACAAGAATTAATTTTATTTCAAGGTTCGGGATGGCAGTCCCTGGTGGACGGAGCCAGTACAGTAGTATCCGATTACCCGCCTTAAATTCTCAAAGATAGCTGATCTGACAGTTCCCTTCAGGTGAATTAATTACTTTCGTAATTAACATCCTTACAACAATTTCACCATGAACATCAGATTTTCTCATGTTCATATGTGAAAAAGAGGTGACTTCAGCACTAGTTGAGACTGTGTGAGAAGGACCTAGGTGTGTATGTTGACAATGAGCTGTAAGTTCTCGGGCCATTGCGAGAAGAATGTAAATCAGGCAAATAAATTATTGGGTCTTATAAGAAGGTCGTTCAGATATCTAGAAGGTCCGTCCCTCGTAATGATCCTTAGGAGTGAAGTGTTTCCCTATCTGGAGTACTGTCACCCTATCTGGTCCCCGAGATATGCTAGGATCTGTCAGTTGGTTGAAAATGTTCAAAGGAGGGCCACCAGATTGGTGCCTGCAATTCGGGACCTCAGCTACCCTGAGAGAATGGAGCGCCTGAACTTGCCTAGCTTATGCTACAGACGGGCAAGGGGGGGGGGGGACCTAGTTGAGGTGTATAAGCATCTCAGGGGGCACTACTCAGTTGAGTGGTAGTAACTCTCGACAGGAGCGGGTTCAGGTACATTCAGGAACCGGTGCATGCCCAGTATTTGCCAACAGTGCATGACAGAGACGTGACCGATCGCCCAAGCGGCTAACAAGCCGATCAGTGGCGAAGGGGATAAAAGTAAAAGTAACAATCACTGGCATCTCTAGGGCCGACGTCAATGATACTTCACTCTCACTGCCGACTCTACCCTGACTTATATTGACAATTACGCTAACAGTAAATACAATTGAAGCTTTCAACATCAGTCACCACGGATCTTGAGTGCTTCATCTGCAATCAGACATCTCTAAGTTGACGCAAAGTAAGGGTGTTCTCTTACCAATTCAAATGCATGAACACCCTGTGCGGAATTTAGGTATACTTGAGTTTCTCCGGTAATGAGACACAGAAAACGGAGGACTCAGATCTCCTGAAGTGGTTAGAGAACGAATGTTTCAACTGGGAGACTCAAAAGGTTTACAGGTTTTGTGGGCGTGGAGCGTAATATGAATTATTAGGTTTTAACAGAGACGTGACCGATCGCCCAAGCGGCTAACGAGTCGATCATTTAGTTAAGAGGATAAAAGAAAAGGAAAAGTAACATAGGCGTATATATATATATATATATATGTAACCGGTCGGAATTTGCTGGACTTTAATTTCTCACTTGACTTGGGGTTTATTAAAAATTAATAGATGGTAATGGCAGTGGAAGCGCCCCTTTGAGAAAAATCCCGAACCAGCACAAGAACACTTAAATCTACTACCCAAAATGAACTGTCCGTGACCCGTGGAAGGATAGCGTCTGTGACTGGGATGAATGAGACACACTGTAAAATTTAGACACTTATATTCCCTCCAACACTACAAACACAATCAAATAATGGTACACCAATATGCGCACCTCTTAACTTAAACTTTAAACACTACTCTGGGGAATAAAAGTTATACATGACATAGAAATTATTAGAAACACAGGCAACAATAAATTTGAAGTATTAAGAAATGTTGCTTGCACACATGAACAGGCCTTAAGGGCTTTCACAAAATAATATCAGTCACTTAGGAAATGGTACTAAAAAATAAGAAATTAAATACTCCACAATGAATAGGCCTTAAGGGTTTTCAACAAAATAATATCAGTCACTGAGGAATGGTAATAAAATATAAGAAATTAAATACTCTACAATGAATAGGCCTTAAGGGCTTTCAACAAAATAATATCAGTCACTGAGGAAATGGTAATAAAATTTAAGAAATTAAATACTCTACAATGAATAGGCCTTAAGGGCACTCAACAAAATTATAGCACCCCAACAGATGTACACTTCCTAACCTAACCTACCCACTACTCTGGGGAACAAGGTTATACCTGAGATCAGAATTATGAAGAACAATTAGAGGCATTAAAAGAATCAAATCACAGTATCACTCTGGTTCCACTTAATGGCACAAACATTCAAACAATATTATCAAAATTATTTAGAAACTATTAAACTACACACGTCAAGATAATATCAGTCTGAGGAATGGTGTTAACTACACCCGTAATAAGGGAGGGAAAATGTTCCTCTAGGTATCTCCTAGAGACCTAGACTCACGGTCTCAGTGTGTGACCATTAGTTTACTCAGATAGCCTCAGTGTACTCCCAGTGCGTCCATAAAGCGGAAGGGAGTGAGCCAATCAGACCTTGTACAGTTGAGAGAAACTTTAGCTTCCCGTTAGCAAGAGGGTTTCACTAGCTGCTCGGGACATGTGGGGTTGTGCACCGGAGTGGTAAGAACTGATCACCCACTGCTGATGCTGGTCCCGTGTCGTTTTAGTTGTCGGGAGCACTCGTTCAGCTGCTCGACATGTGGGGTTGCAATCGAAGTGGCAGGAACCGATCACCCACTGCCGATGCTGGTCCCGTGTCATTTTAGCCGGAGCACTGCTCACTCAAGAGATCTCGCGCCCCGGGCCAAACAGTGACAGCCTACACTGATCGGTCCAATGGCGACAATCGCCACCCTCAATCATCAACGTAAATAATCTTCGTAGTCAACTCCGCCAACCCAGTCAAGTGGGTTCGGATGGAAACCGGAAAACGAACCTTCACTGGTTAGCTCTAGTTTCATTTTATCACTGCCCTATCTAACCCTGCTGTCTGAGATCGAATGAGACCATTTGTTATACTGGCAATAGCGCAGCACAGGTGACTAGGCCACGGACTATTTCTGGATGGACGCTACGAACGCCTTGTCTGTGAATGCTCTCCGGACTGGCCTATCAGCCGCCGCAGTTCCCCAGCAGTGCCAGTTTGGGCCCACGGATATATTTTCCGCCCAACTATCAACCTTGTGACACCCGTAACATTATTCAGACCGTTAAACGATCTATACAATTTCACCACAATAGTCCCTAACTTCGGCGCGAATCGCAATTATTAATTCGGCAATTACATTTAATATCATGGCAGGCTCAGTTCGCAGTCTCTCGCCACGAGTAAGTGTAGCGCCTCTCCCCTGCCAGATGACCTTTTGAACGCCTGGCATCGCGAAGGGCATCGAAATTACCTGAAATTCCTGGATATATATATATATATTTATATTTATATATATATATATATATATATATATATATATATATATATATATATATATACAATATATATATATAATATATATATATATATATAGATAAAACTGCTGTGGTAAGGGAAATAATTGTGGAGCACCTAGCTTGCCTTTATTCAAGACATCTTCAGAGGCAACTGATTACATGGAGAGAGAGAGGCTAATATACAGGTGACTCAAAAACATGAGGTTAGGTCATAATGATGTTATCCACTAATCCCTACACCAACACACCTGTAGAGGAGCTTTGAGAGAAGGGGGTGGGGATGGACTAGTCAGGTCAGGTCAAAAATAAGGGACCCACTAAATAACTACTGGTACATCTAGACCAAAGAGCTAAAGATTTTTAACCTTTAAATACTGATAAATAAATCTATGAACATACATTGCCTTTGAGCCGACTCAACACAAGGTTTATTGATTTTAATTCTAATCACGAGAGCTTCAAACTGGTAAAGCCTTTTGTGACACAAGACGATTTAACATTTGGAAGCTTTTTCCCAAGCAATGGATGATTATTATTCTAACATGAACGAACATCGTAAGGCAATTGCTTTCAGATGCTGTTCTGATATTATACTTATGCTGTTTGATTCTGAGCTGCAGTGTTTTTCCTGTCTGTCCTACATAATTACAAATTACATTTGCTACATGGAATACAATAAACACTCTACTTACATTCAAACCTGCTATTTCTTATTAACATATTGGTAATGGTTGAGTCACACGGAAAACAAACACAGATTTAGGAAGCTTGAGGACCTAACTAACGTGGGACAAATCTATTGATGGATAGAGCAGAGCTGCATATTCTGGGCAGTTAGGAATTTCATTTTGGCTTGAGAGGAATGAAAGGGATTTTTAGCCTCTTTAAAACAACGATCAACAAACACAGAAGGGTGCCTGGAGCTCTGTGCAATGGAAACTAAATGTGTTTCAATTCATCAATAAATTCATTGCCAAATACGCAGACATCTTTTAAGAACATAGCAGAAAAACCTGACATTTTGGCAGACCCAGGTGATTCGACAAAAGGAATGAAAACTGGGTCTACCTGTGTGGGGCTTTCTGCATACCCACCTAAAGGCTTTGGCCATTTCTCATGACAAGGCTATATCAAGGAATGAAGGGATCCATTTATTTATTTCTGAATTTTGAATGTGATACTTGGGACAATATCATTGCTTGTCTAAAAATTCCAATGGGTCACTGTTTCTAGGCCAAAGGCAAAGAACATCATCATATATCTATGCTCATGGAGGAATGTAAGTCTACCAGGCTGGTAGTAATCTAGACTCAAAAACTCCATAAATATGAGCTAGGAGGAGCAGAAAGACACTACCCATGCTCATGCCAAATATTTGCTTGTAGAACT